TAGTTGATAGAGTACTTGTTTGGCAATTACAAAGGACAAGGGTTCAAATCTTTTGATATTAATATAATAGTTTTACAGTTTTTTTTATTCCTTCCCCTATGACTTCAACACAACCACATTTTTAATAGCTCACACACACATATATATAACATTCTTTTATATTAATAATGAGATGTGTAATTTATAATGTTTTTTCTATTCAAATTATTTTCTCAAATTAATTATGTTTCATATTTTGTTATAAATATTTTTATAAAGTTTCGATGTGTTCTAATTTTTCGCTCATATCCAACAATATTTATAATTATATTTCTTAAGTAATTTAATTACTTATTTTTAAATTATCTCTTTTATTTTAATGTTTGCCTGGAAAAATTTTCTGAATCCGCCCGTACATCTTCGTCCCCTTCAACCGATTTTCTGGCTCCGTCCCTAGTAATATAATTTTTATAATCAGATGTCACAGGTTTGATTTTTGTCAACAATATCCCAATCGATCACATGATTTGCAGACTGTTACACATAAATAAGTTTACTAGTAGAATATAATTTTTGTAACTGAATATCATGATCGAGTTTGACTATTGCTAACACCATCTGCATCATTGCAGCAATGCAAGCACTTTCCTCAGGCCTCAGACGGATTGCTTTTCCACGACCACATTTTAATTTCCTGTTTCTGTCCATCTATATATCCGTCCAAGAGAATTAAGTGAGATAGATGTCGTCGCGGCTAGGTCGTTTGTTGTTATCGATGATGCCAAGGACGAAGCTTCCATGGACCGCACACCCATTTTAATTCCCCCGCTGTCACCATCGCTGTTAGTTCGTCCTCGGAACGTACTCAAAACCGGGCCGCCACGCAAATCATCAACATATCCTCCTGCCGTGCCGGATCGGACACCTTCATTATTATCATTCATTGCGATTTTCCGGCGACTGATATACAACGTACTACTATACGTACAAGTGTACAACGTACGACATGTTTAACCTAGCTAGCTAGCTTCTCAGTTATTCTTCGACGCTGATGTTTCGTGTCGTGGAGGTTTGCTTTTGTCTTCGGGGTTGCTAGGGTACATAATTAATTTTTACAATAATCGTCTATGAATTGCTGGAACACAAACGTGTGTGGAAATTACAAAAATTTGTTTCCTTTTACTACTCCTTAGCCATCATTCATTGTATACGTTCTCTAATATCTATAACAATAAAATATTACTCATCATATCATGATCCCAATTGAAAACCATGGATTAATTAATTAATACACAACCAAAGATTAGACTAATTGGGGTTGTTAATTCCCACGGAAAAAAAAAAAAAGAGGTACTCCGTAATTAATTAATTAACACACAAAATTAAGTTATATGTGTAGCACTTCTATATCAAGTTAATAATAATAATAATAAATAATGCTAGAGACACTTTATATCTTCTTCCTGCAATTCATCACTCATAACGACAACATAGGTAACTATATTATACTTTTAATAAATCTACGTCGTTTTGGGCCATTGTGCGCCCTGGTGCACCGTATAATTTGCCACCAAGATTAATCTTGTTCAAAGTACTCCCTTGGTATGCTTGGTAGTGTGCCACGTCTAGGGTCAATAGTTATTGCGTGGGCCGTGGTCTACACAGCTATGTGGACTATGGTCCTAAAACAACGTTGTTTTGGGTAAATTTTTTTTCATGCGACCCGATGTAACATATATTTTTATAACTCATAATGTACATTATTCTAACACATATTGTATATTATTTTAAAACATAATGTATATTATATTATCTCAGAACTGTCAAAAGTTTCATTATTCTAATACGTAATATACAGTATTCTAACACATAATGTACATTAATTTTACTCATAATATTTATGACGTTATTTTAGATCGTGATCCACACAGCTACGTGGACCGTAATTTGCAGTCTGGGGCTGTGTTGACGTGTTACAAGGCAGAAGCTTGGGTGTGGTTATGGGCAATGTGTTACGCTCTCCCAACTTGAAAGTTAAGAATCGGTGCAGATGGCTGCCAGATTGTGGGTACTGTGGACGGCTAGGAATGAATAATGGATTTGGAATCATACGGGTAGTGTTCCCTGGTTGCCACCTCCGGCTAATACTCTCAAGTGTAATGTTGATGTGGCGGGTTATGGTGCGGTCATACGCGATCATGATAGTAGTTGAGTCTGATTGTTAAAATTTTTGTGTTAATTTCAATTTGTATTCTTTAGATCGTTCGTATGTTGATTTGATTGTTAAGTAATATCGTATATTTAGAATGTGTTTGTCCACTATATCAAGAGGTCAATGAATTATGTAGTTCATGTTTTGACACGAACAACTAGTTCCTTGCCTGTTCTTGAATCCTGAGTGTCTAATCCACCGACCAGTATTTCTCACTTATTTGATATGATTCTTAATGCAGTTTTGGTTATTTCAAAAAAAAAAAAAAACTACATTCTAAGAGACTTACATCTTCTTCTTCTTCTTCTTTTTGTTTTTTGTTTTGTTTTTTTTTTTTTTTTGTTAGTACTACCCACATCATTTTATTTACGCTATTATGGTTTTGAAAATTTTTGTGATGGATCATAGTACCCGTAGTTAACAAAGATTTTGTTTTGTTTTTTGTTTTTTGTTTTTTGTTTTTTTTTTTTTTGAAAACGTAGTTAATAAAGTTTTTTTTTTTTTTTTTTTTGAAAACGTAGTTAATAAAGAGAGTATTAGTTAAGTAAAGTTAAACTGTTAAAGTGGCTGGTGTCTCATCTTTGGGGAACATTCTGTTTCATCTTTTGTAAAAGGCACAGATATTAAGCCAGTAAGATTAGCTTTTGTTAATTATTTATTTGAAAAATAGAGTAATATTACACTGTTTTTCTAATTTCAGATTATAATTTTAGTAGTATTCAATTATTATTTAAAAAATTGATTAAAGAGTAAATTTATCTTCTAATGCTGCGTGAGATAAGTCATCTCGAGTCTTGAGCAATTATATTAAAAATCATGAGAAAATTTTTTTTTTTTTCCATCTTAATTGACGGGTCAAAAAGACCAATTTTTTTTTTTAAATATCAAATATATCATTAAACTTATATATATTTTTGTGTTATTAGACCACTTCACTTCATTTAACACGTATGCGATTGAATTATTAAATAAGTAAAATATATTTAATTTGAATCATTTTTATTTAAAAAAATAAATTATTCCAGTACAATTTGAGTTGTAAATATTTCAATTTTTGATTAAATTATATATATATAAACAGTGTGGTTGAATTCTATATTTTGAGTGTTTGATAGTCAATTATATATATTTAAGTTTTAATTCCCAATAGGAGCAGTATTGACTTTTTATGCTTCAGTAAATTGAGAGAGTAGTTATATATGAACAAATATTACATTGTAATTGTAATAGAGTCAGTAGCACTCAAAAATATACATTTAAGTTTAATGATTTAATTATACCAAATAATACACATTTAAGCCCAATGGTCTAATTATACAAAATTATTTGACACTTACTCCAAAAAAAAATTACCAGGTAGCTAGTAGTGAGATCAAGAGGGAAAATAGTACTTCGTATTATTCTAAAAAAAAAAAAGTAGTTAATCTAATTATTGGTCGGTAAAGATTATTTATAAATTATATTCCCTTGGTCTCATTTTATAGGTTTGATTCGGTTAATGGGATTTAATTAAAGTCATTTTTAATTTAATTTTTTATAATATTAAATTTAATATTATTTCGTATTATACAAAATTGGTCAAAGTACCTACGAGGTTCCTGTACTATAGCGTTTTGTTCAATTTAGTCCTTATACCTTTATTTTGTTCAATTTAGTCCTTATACCTTTATTTTGTTCAATTTAGTCCTTGTACTTTAAAAAATGGTGTAATTAAGGACAATAGTTAATGTTGTTAATATTACGGCTAACTTAGGTTACGTGGCGCTGACGATATTTATATTCTTACTCATATATTTCTTTATAAATATTTAAAATTAGTTATTTTTATCACCAATATATTAAATTAGTATGTCTAAAATAAATAATTAAAATCATATTCCTAATGAGATTTGGACAATTGTCCTTAGTTTTATCACTTTTAAAATAGAGGGACTAAATTGAACAGAATAAAGGTACAAGGACTAAATTAAACAAAACATTATAGTACAAGGACTTTATAGGTACTTTGACCTACAAAATTTATATATTTAAAAGAATTAATTTCACTTTTGGTCCCACGACTTTTGAGTTCTTATCACTTTTGGTGCACAACTTTAAATTTTTTCAATATTGGTGCTTAACTTTGTTATTTTTATCAGTTTTGGTCCTTCCAGCCAAATTGACGGTAAAATATTTCCGAATTTTATATTTTAGGGGCAAAATAGTCATCACATGGAAAGATCTTCAATATTTAAACAAAAGAAAAACCATATTAAGAGGAAAAGAAGAGTTTTCCAATGGTCGAAACTATAAATCCCATAGATCTGTCTGGTTTCTGCGCATCTTCCCCATTATTCTCATCATCAAACACCTATAGATATGATTTTACGGTGATTTTGTTTAGATACTGAAGATGTTTCCGTGGGATGGCGATTTTACCCCTAACAATATAAAATCCAGCAACATTTAGCTATCAATTTGGCCGAAAGGACCAAAATTGATAAAAATAACAAAGTTATGCACCAAAATTAAAAAAATTTAAAGTTGTGCACCAAAAGTGATAGAACATCAAAAATTGTGGGATCAAAAGTGAAATTAATTCTATTTAAAAACTACACAGATAAAATGAACAGAGAGAGTAATTAGTTGTACTCTATAATCTTACTTTTAAAATTTTACTTCCTGGCAGATTCTGATAAGTTATTTTTTTCATGTGCATTCTAATACAAGCATTTACATCAAGTTTTTGTAAGTGTGGGAGTACAAATTGGGAGTAATACATGTAACATTTTCTTAGTTAAAATGCTCTCCATAATTTATACGGAGTAATAACTAACGGACAATTCTTCTTTAACAAATGGTGATATTCTTCTTCTTCATCTCTTGCCCATGATTCTACTCCAAAGATGCCGCCTGAAACAGATCTCCATTTCTCTGTGTCGAGGTTGTCTTCTCCGATGTTGTATTCTGTCTGCTATGTATTAGAATTTAGAAAGCATTAATTGTCGTCTGCCATTTCATGATACAGTTAGTTTGTTTGTGTTGCATTGTTAATTGCAGGTGGTTAGGAGTGTTATTTGGGCGGAGATCAGTGAAACCCTACAACGGCGACGAAAGTACCGGCGAAAACCAAATCGCCGCCGACTCGAGCACCGCCGTGGAATGCTACGCTTGCACTCAGGTCGGAGTTCCGGTATTCCACTCCACCAGTTGCGACGAAGCTCACCAGCCGGAGTGGCAGGCCTCCGCCGGCTCCTCCTTCGTTCCAATCCAGAACCGACCCGGTTCTAGGGTTCCGGCCGGGAAGAGGAGCTCCGGCGGCGGTTATGGACTGCCGTGGCGGGCGCTGGACCCGCGGAGCAAGCGCGTGCAGCTGCTGAACCGGGCGTTCTTACTGGCGCGTGGAATGTCCATCGCCGTCGATCCTCTCTTCCTCTACGCCTTATCCATCGCCGTGGTCGTCGGCTCGCCCTGCCTGTACATGGACGGCGGGGTGGCGGCGACGGTGGCGGTCCTCCGCACGTGCGTGGACGCCGTGCACCTCTGCCACCTGTGGCTGCAGTTCCGGGTGGCCTACGTGTCACGTGAGTCGCTCGTGATTGGCTGCGGGAAATTAGTATGGGACACCCGCGCCATTGCCTCCCACTACGTCCGCTCCCTCAAAGGCTTCTGGTTCGATGTTTTCGTCATCCTTCCTGTCCCGCAAGTAATACGCTATCAATTATCAATTTAAACTTATAGTTAAAATCAAACATATTTTTAAATTTCTTTTAACCCGATATTTTTTGGATTGGGATTAATTCACAGGTCGTCTTTTGGTTGGTTATCCCAAAACTAATAAGAGATGAAAAAATGAGGCTCATAATGACCATTCTTTTACTCTTCTTCCTCTTCCAATTCCTCCCAAAGGTATACCATAGTATCTGCTTGATGAGAAGAATGCAGAAGGTTACCGGATACCTTTTTGGCACTATTTGGTGGGGCTTCGCCCTCAATATCATTGTCTACTTCATTGCTTCTCACGTGAGTAGTCTTACTATCAGTTTAACCTTTTAGTTCGATTGTAATTTTTATCTGATAACAAGTCAGATGAAATATTATCAGTTTAACCTTTTAGTTCGGTTATGATTTTCATATGATAAAGAATGAGATGAAACATTAATGGTTGAAGTTTTGGTTAGGTTGCGGGGGGATGTTGGTATGTGCTGGCAATACAGCGAGTGGCGGCGTGTCTCCGGCAGCAATGTGGACGGAAAAGTTCGTGTAATCGGTCGCTGTCGTGCTCGGAGGGGATGTGCTACCGGTTTCCATTGCCGACGGGCAGCTTTCCTAGTGGTTGCGCCGGTAACTCCACGACGCCGCTGTGCTTGGACGCCGATGGACCGTTTGCGTTTGGGATATACGATTCGGCTCTTGCTGTCATTTCCAGCCGCTCAATCACTATTAAGATTATTTACGCTATTTTCTGGGGACTACAGAATTTGAGGTAACCATTTGACTATCTTTATTTTTCACTGTAAATAGAATTTGAGGTATTTAATTATATATCTATATATATACTGCAGCACATTTGGGAATATGTTGGAGCCAACAAGCAACTGGTTGGAAGTGTTTTTCAGCATATGCATTGTGCTTTGTGGTTTAATGTTATTCACCTTATTGATTGGAAACATTCAGGTAACTAGCTTCAAGTTTCACTTCAATTATATTCTCAGTTTTTTTTTTTTTTTCAATTTTTCGTTAATTGGTACAAAAAAAAACTAATTAAAATATGCAATAATTGAAACATGTTATGATTTATCTCAACTAAAACTATAAGGTGATAGTTGAATTGCACATTTATGTTTTATATATTATTTTATGAGTGACCTTTGACATAACTCTTATACCAAATTAAAGCATCTGCTTCATCTCAACTAAAAGGTTAAGCTGATAATTGAATTGTAAATTTATGTTTTATATATTATATACCCAACAAATGCATAAAGATTGAGGCGATTGGTAGAAATTAAATTAAAGTAAAATGGTTTGGTTTGTATGTATAGGTATTTCTGCATGCAGCGATGTCGAAGAAGAGAAAAATGCAGTTGCGGTGCCGGGATCTGGAATGGTGGATGAGGAGGCGGCAGCTGCCGTCGCATTTGAGAGAGAGAGTTCGGAATTATGAACGGTATAGATGGTCAACAATGGGCGGCCAAGATGAGATGAAGTTAATCAAGGATTTGCCTGATGGACTTCGACGAGACATCAAACGTTATTTGTGTCGACATCTCATCAGGAAGGTAATTTAATTCAAGTCACCACTTTTTTTTGAAGTACTCTTCAAAAAATTAGTTTGATAATTAAAATTTTTTAAATTTGTGTATTTGTGTTTCTTGAATATACTTTCTACATATCGTAACATATACTTTGCTGTTTTAAGTGTTACACTTTTGTGTTTCATATGTTCACATTTGAGGGTGCAGTAGGTTATCACCTTATGCGACTCCTAAGTTCTGAGCAATAATTATATACATTTTTGCTTGTAATACATGAATATAGTCAACTTTAACTTGTGCTAATTAATTACTCCATCTGTTCTATTTTATCTGTATTACTTATTATTCATTGATCAAACTAATTCTGTCTTATTTTTTTTTTTAATATTTTTTTACTTATTTTTAAATTTGATTTTTTGTGTTTAATAGTATTTTAAGTGTAGTTTTTAAATATATAAATTTTATATACTGATTTTAAACTTAATATTATAAAATATTAAATTAAAAATAACTTCAATCAAACTTAGTTAACCGAACTAAACAAATAAAGTGAGACGGAGGGAGTACTAATTTTCTTCCTTGTAATCCATGGATATACTCAACTTTAACTTGTGTTGATGATTACTATTTCCTCCAATTTAGGTGCCCCTATTTCACGATTTAGATGATCTTGTTCTTGACAATATTTGTGATCGTCTTCAACCCCTAGTTTTCTCCAAAGGTGAAAAGGTATAACTTTTTTATTTTATCTTTATATATATATAGATATAAGTAAAATAATTTAATTACATGCAATATATATTTTGGTTTATTAATTTATTATGTTTTGCATATATGTTGCAAAGAAGATGATAAGAGAAGGAGATCCGGTGGCACGGCTGGTGTTCATCGTTCGGGGGCGTATAAAAAGCACCCAAATTCTGAGCAAAGAAATGGTGGCGACGAGCACGCTAGGACCAGGAAGCTTCTTGGGAGACGAACTTATTTCGTGGTGTCTCCGCCGTCCCTTCATAGACCGGCTGCCGGCGTCCTACGCAACCTTCACCTGCATTCAACCCACGGAAGCGTACGGTCTTGATTCCGCCCACCTCCGCTTTGTTGCCGATCACTTCCGCTACAAGTTCGCCAACGACCACCTTAAGCGGACGGCGAGGTATTACTCCACCAACTGGAGGACTTGGGCCGCCGTGAATATTCAGCTGGCGTGGCGAAGCTACGTGCTGAGGACGACGAGACGGCCGGTGAACGTTGCACCCGGAAGCGGCGACGATTGCCGCCTCCGGCAATACGCCGCCATGTTCATGTCATTTAAACCGCATGATCATCTAGAATAATAAATTTATATATGGATCGGATGGCTTCCATTTTTTCACATTTGTAAAATTCAACATCTAGCAATACTAATAAAAGGCACCTATAGGTACTGCACCGTCTATACATAAATGAATGCATCATCTCTTTATAACTTCTATACATGCATCATGCGTTTCAACAAGAAAGGTGTAATCAACTTAGAGGTTGTACATAACTGACTAACTTAAATTAGGAAGATCAATAAATTACTTTCACGAAGAGTCAAACTTAAAATTTTATTGTTACTAAGCTAACAAGCTTACCAATTTGGCTGGAGTTAGTCTCTTTTTACTTTATTTCTACTTGTTAGGTTGCACATCTTGTTAAAAAGGTTTTTAATTACCATTGCATCGAGCCTAACTCCACTTCAACCGTTATGTATCCTGAATAGTAAGTTCTACCGTAAAACTCTTCATGAGATCTGATGGATTAAATCAATCCGGACAACCCAAATTACTTAACTCAATAATAATAAGAATAAATAAATCGATAATAAAGTAGAAAAGACAAGGAATATGTGTCGCGGAGACAATATTTGTATTAATAACAGGAGTTCTACTACATAGACTCCCAAAATTCTACTCCCTTATTTATACTCCCTGAGGTGGCAATCCGAATTGATTATTTTCATCATGTGGGTCCATAGAAAAATGTCTATATCAAGAGCATGTGAGAAGGAGTACAAGTTGGGAGTTTAAAATGGGAGTACACCAAGTATTTTCCTAATAACAGTGTTGTAATATGATTACAAAGTGAGAGAATGATTGGATGATGTCTTAATCAAGACAATAATGAGTTAATTTATACTAAGGTTTCTTCCTAACTGTCCCCATGAAAATAAGGCAGGCGATTGGATCCTCCTTAACCGCGTCCACCCGTGAAGTGCACAAGGCTGAGACCACCCTAGGTTGAGGTTGCCTCCCGCCGAGGTCACCCCAGGCTGAGGTTGCCTCAAGTTGGGGGCGCCTCATACCAAGGCCGTCCCGTGCCGAAGCCGCCCCGAGCTGAGGCCACCCCAAGCCTGGGTCATCTTTCGGGTGGCCCTCACTTCTCCTCGAGTCGGTTTGGTCCCCGTCTCTAATATATCTATCAAGATCAATTTTAGAGAAGAAATCAACGCTCCAGCGCCAGATGATCCTGCAAACCCCAGCGCTAGCCATTCCAGGGAAAGAATTGAATATCCTTAAAATTATGACAACAAAAGAGATGGATGAAGTATTGATGTTCCATCCTAAACCGTGTTCTCTATAATGCTACGTCCTGAAACTCTTTTCAAACCTTTCTCCTTCGCCATGGTTCCCATCTGTGCTACTTCATCCCACTTCTCTTGTCCAGCGTACAAATTTGACACCAAACCATAAGCACTTGGATTTCCAGGTTCTAAAACCAGGAGCTGTCTCCCTGCAGTTTCACCCATTTTCGGGTTTCTGTGAACCATGCATGAAGCAAGGAAAGCCCCTAATGCCGAGGCATTTTCTCTCAATGGCGCGTGGTTCAGAACATGATATGCTTCCTCAAGCCGCCCTCCTCGGCTTAGTAGATCCACCATGCACCCGAAATGCTCGTCTGTTGGGACAACTTTGTGTTCTTCAATCATCAACCTGAAAATGGACAGACCCTCTGCTAATGATCCTGAATGGCTGCAGGCAGATAGTAGTGACGTAAATGTGTAGTTATCAGGCTCAATCTCGTCTTTTCTCATTTGGTTGAATAAGTTGAGCACCTGGGCGCAGTCCCCGTGTGCACCATATGCAGATATCATCGTGTTCCACGATGCCAGATCGCGTTCAGCCATGCGCTCAAACAAAAGCCTGGCTGCACTTAAATCTCCGCATCTGCTATAGGCAATAATCAGAGAATTAACGAGGTGTGTGTCCTTTTCCACGCTTAGCAGCTGATGGACACGCCCATGAGTTTCTCTCGCGAAGCGTAAACATCCAAGCTGCACGATCGCCTGGAGCAAACCTACTAATGTAATGGAATCGGGATTTATCTTTTCTCTTTGCATCAGATGGAACAAGATCACGGCTTCCTCAGCCTGGCCATTGTTAACATAACCCATGATAGCTGATGTCCACGATACAATGTCCTTATACTCGATCCTGTCAAATACTCGTCTTGCAGATTTGATGAGACCGCATCTTGCATACATTTCAACGAGCTGATTAGCTAATTCGGTGTTGGATTGAAGCCCGCGTTTCAGCAGGAACCCATGGATGCCATTTCCTTGTATTGCATCATTCAGATCAGAAACTCCCGAGAGTACACTGATTATCGTGCTTATGTTTGGTTGAAATCCCATCCACAGCATTTCATGAAACAACTTCACAGCCTGATTGGGAAGTCGGTTTTGAAGATAACCAGCTATCATCACATTAAACAGGACGACATCCTTGCGTTCTGTTCTACCAAATACTGCTTCAGCCTGGATCACGCAATTGCATTTCGAGTACATATCCATTAGAGTTGTAGTAGCAACAAGATCAAGCTTATATCCACCTCGGAGTATGTAAGCATGGAGGCTCTTTCCTCCACGCAAGTACTGTCGATCACCACAACTTGACAGCCCATTCGTTATAGCAATCAAATCAGGTTTATGGTTTTCCATCATCATCTGAACAAAAAGCTCCAGAGCCTCCATAGACTGCCCTAGCCTAAGATAACCAGCAATCAAAGCATTCCAAGAACCGATACTCCTCGTTCTAGAATTCACAAACACTGCAGTGGCCTTATCTGGGACACCACACTTTATATACATGTCCATCAGAGTTGTCACGAAAAAATCATTCGAACAATCGATCCCTCTCCTGAGAGCATATCCATGAACTGCATTTCCCTCTTGCAGTGCTCCCATGGAAGACGCTGCTTGAAGTAAGCTAACCAAAGTAACACGATTTGGTTCAATGTTTTCCCTCTGCATCTCATGTGCGACTCTGAAAGCCTCGTAGGCATACCGATCACCACCTTGAGCATAGCCGCTAATCATCACGGTATACACAACAACATCTCTGTCAATTATTTCGTCGAACACCTTAGCTGCATCCCCAATGGCAGCTCGCTCGGAATACAGCTTGACGAGAGACGACCCTACATTTTCATCTGTATTCAGCCCGAGCTTCACAGCATCCAAATGCACAGCTCTCCCAAATTTCAAGTCGCCCAACACGCCGCAGCTCTTCACTGTAAACGTTACGGCTGCGCCATAGATACCGATGCTCCTTCTCTTCAATTCTGCATACAACCCGAGGACTTCATCGTAGTGAAACGCTCTAAAATACCCAACAAAAGTCGGATTCCAAATAGAAAAATCGCGGTCGCTAATTCTGTGAAATATCCATTTCGATTCAGCTAAAAGGTCGAACTTGGCGTAGCTATTGAGAAGCTTGGAGCCCAAAGACGAGTCGTGTTCAAGCCCGCGTGTTAATATGCAAGCGTGTAGCTTCTTCAGAAAATTTGTGTCTGAACAGTTTTCAAGAGAAGAAGCAAGCTTTACAGACAATGAAGGTATATAAAATGGCGGGTTCTCCCCAGGCAAGGTAGAGAACAAGAGTGTGCGAGGTTTGATTGAAAAGAAAATTTTGGGTTTCTTCAATAGAACAGGAATCTCAGAATATAACAGTACATTCATATCCAAGAGTGTTTAAGAATGCATAAACTTAGGCATGTCTTTGAACTCTTGATTTCTTAGATGTACGAGAAATAACAAGAACTCCCAAAATTTTGCTTTTTTTTTTTTTTTTTTTTTTTTTTTTTTACTCTTCCTGGTCTTTCTCTGTCCGTCTTACAATCTGGTCCAGCTCGTTTCAAGAGGCACGAGCTCGAATCCAAGTTATCTCAAAATTCTTTTTTACAAAGAGAGCTCATTTGCCACGAAGTGATTTGACATGGATAGGTTGTTTGGGGTGGCCGGCGGTGACGGTCCGCTCACTGGAATTAGTGGACATGGTTGGAGAGAGAGAAACCTGGACTAACTGATACCAGATTAGAGAATAGTTTGCGTTGATTGCCAAACTCAGAGCTTACACAGAGATACAATAGACTCAGATGACTAGCCTATACATTAGCTACAAAATATATCATGTCTAACAGTTACTCCCTTTGGGTTAAAATTTTTGCAATTAATTCTGCTAGAGGATGAAACCCGTTTTGTGATTAAGATCACCGGTACACCCAAAAGTATTTAACTAATAAACCGTTGTTCCTAAAACAGTAAACCAGCCTAGACTACTCTTAGATTACCCATAGATCATAGTTAACCGGTTCAAAAAAAAATTCGATAAACAATTTTTATAGAGAGTCGAACTTAAGACCTTGTGATTACTAAGTCATCAATTGTTCGACTCATGAGGAAAAACTTACTATTTGAGTATTTGACATGGTATAATACAAGAATGTCAAGTATATTGACGATAAAATGATTATGCAAAATGGTGAAGGAGCTTGGGAAGCCATTTAAGTATTGCAAATTGTGTGGAATGAAGAAAAGTTGGAGACCATGAGAGTTGAATAAATAGAGAGATGTCAGACACTAAAGGGCCATCATTAATCCTTCTTCTCAATTGTATTAACAGCTGTTTAAAGAAGGATGGCACAGTTACTGAAGAATGTTACAGGTTCAATCAGAGAAGTAATGTGTATATGCAGCCAGAAAAATATACAGCAATCAACTTCCATGGCATACAAAACTCTGACAAAGTTGCAACAAGTTTGAGTTTCCTTCCTGGGATTAGCATTGTTTCAGAGGAGCAGGATTAGTGTTTTGACATCTCTGCCTTGGGAGCCGCCTCGTTCGCTTTCCCCATCCCGTTAGGCTTGTCTTCTCGACATTGGTTTCAGTGCAGATGACGACGGGCTGGTTTGTTGGGGGTGGTGGTGGTTGGGAGGTTGCGGTTTTGATGAGGGAGGGAGTTGTCGAGCTTCCACATCGCCGCCTTCCCCTACCATTCTTGCCGGCTTTTCTCTGTGACATTCTTGATTGCCAAGAGGAACCCGTGGTTTTCAGTAGCTCTTCGAATGTCAGAATGTCCTCGCTCACCTCGTGCCTAGAGAGGGAGACCAGACTCGGGAGAACGTCCCTTTGGAAGTCTCGTCTCTGCCTGCCTCTCCTTGCTTGCCCTCTCCGAGGGCGTTTTGGTGTTGTGGCAGCTCCTGATTCTTCTTCTTCGTCGTAGTTGATTTCCAAAATCGATGGCTCGTAACAGCTGCCTTCTTCCTTCATGTCTCTCAACTCGAGCGTCATAGCCTCGAAATAATCCAAGCCATCGGGGATGGATTCTTCAACGGGTTCGCCTTTTCCCGACGAAGCATCCGTGATATTGCGCTCACGACCATCGTTAACTCGAGAATAAATCACGTCCGCTAACCATTTGAGGCAATCGCTAGATGCAGTTTCGTTCGGCAGATTGTTAGCACTCGACGATGAGATGGAGACTATAGCCTCGGCAGCTCCCCTCGTGACTTCTTCAAGAGGTTGCGTAGATTTCTCGACTCTCAACTCAACACTGCTGATTTCTTCTTCAAGAGATGATGCATTTTCTTCGGGTTCAAGAGTTGCGGGAGCCTCCAAGTCGATTTCAGCAGTCGCGATTTTCACAACTGCTCGAGGGAGACAAGGTGCCGGTGGCTCCTCTTCTTCATCGAGAGACAGGTTAAGATCGATCTGATTTTTTAAACCCGAACAACAGTTCCCGAGCCCCTTATCTGTAACAGAATCAATGATACCTTCAGGCGGATTTCTAGACGCTGCCTCATCTGCAAAGACTTTATTAGAATCTGCAGTCTTTAGATTTCCAGAAGAACTAAAAATCTGAACCCCGAAGATCTTCTTAACATTATCAGCCTTGCTCGGCTCACAAGCATTGATGGACGTTGATCGCCTGTCTTCTTGTTTCTGGTTCAAACCCCGAGAGAAACTCTCATCGGTTTCAGACTTTTTAAAAAACTGCTGAGAACAATTCTGCAATAAATCAAGATTCATGTGATAGCAGTTCTCCCCCCGACTGATCTGCTGAAGATTATGCTGCGACTTCGCTATGAACCATGGCAACGACCCCTTGGAGCTTTCTTGCTTGCTTATTGGAGTCTGATAATTATGATTATCTTTAGGCGCTAAATCACCATAACTCACGCCATTAACACCGTCAAATCTAAGTAACGAACACCCTTGTACCTTTCGGGCACTCAAATCCGAACTGTTGGAAGCACCGTTTTTGCACGAAGCCGTTTCTTTTGAGCTTGAAACGGAACTAATATTACCATTCATGTGTGTTTTACCTCCATTAAAGTCTAGGCTTTGCTTCAGTGAATTAATATTCCCACTGGAAGCGGTGAAAAACTGTTCTCTATTATCCTCGGATGATATTACTACGCCAAAAATTGTTTTTTTCTTCTGGAGTTCGGTCTTGGGGTGATTAGGGAATGTAGTCAAAGGCTCACAAGCTTCACTCGGGCCGGCTTGTGAAGATGGAAAAGCGGTAGGCAAATCATCAGATTGAACATCTGCATCAAAAGATTAACCGTTGAAGACTTGAAGTAACGCCAAAGTTAAAGAAGCGATCAATACAGAATCACAAAAGAAGATTGGAATCACAAACCAGAAAATCAAGCCAAACCCGTTATGATTACATTCTTACCGGCATTTATGTCAAAACTCAACCTCTCGGGTCTATTCCCTCCATGAACCGACTGCTTGAGGCAACTTCCACCATTCCTTTCCATGAAAGAATTTTCATGGAATTTCTTCGTTTTTTGAATTCCATCATCGACAAGGGAAATGATTCCGCGAGGATTGGCATCCGAGTCCAAGATTGGGGTATCCTCAATCAGTATAGGTTCATTCAAGTCAGCAAGACAATTGGTCCTCTTCAAAGAATTGGCACCCTGTTTATCTTCATTGCCAATCCTCGAAATTTCTTCGCCTTGGGTGCAGAAAAGGCCAGTCCTATTCACACCTCTTTTCACTTCATCAAGAGGAGTGAGAGACAAACAGCGACTCAAATCCACCTCCTTATGATTCTTGTGCACTTCTCTCATTTTCAAATCATTCATCAGGTCCCGCTGTCTGATGTAAAGGCGGTGCAGTTCTTGGAGCTGAATGGCCAAAACACGTTGAAACAAAGTAGAATATAAGAAGACTGATCGAGCTTCAAAGGCCAATATCCATTCCAAAACTAATAAGAATTCACGCTACATAGCTACCATACAAAAACTTGTGTAAATATCATCAGCACGAGCCATTTCCAAGTCTCGTAAACAAAACAAAATTTTCGAAATAACAAACAATATAATACCTGATGCCTGAACGTCAATTCATGCTTCAAGATCGTCTGCCTCACTTTTTCCTTCTCGTATTCAAAATACCCATCCATGGGAAACCGCGGTGAAAATGAGTCATAGTGCTGACCAATTTTCACCGTTCGTTCATCATGACTCAGTAAACACATCCCATTACTCACATTGCCATTTAGATCCTTCACAGAATAGAATGCCGGTAAAACCGTCTTACATTGTATCTTAGTCCCCATCCCAACAATCTGGCAAAACAAGAGTATGCTACATCAGCAATAGCAACAACAATACCCATAAAACGAACGACGATAATTTCAAGAACAACAAACTATTAACACGATAAAACAATCAAACATAGCAGAAACTATGACAAGCCAAGAAGAGATTATAAGAACCACAGAGGTTGTTCCCTGCAAGTTCCTGCAACTACAAGAAACAACTTTTTGATGTTGACAATTAAGGAAAATTTGAATTTTGTGAGCTATGTCCTGATGTTAAGGAGAAAGTTAAGGAAACAAAGGCATAGAGCAAAAGAAACCTTTTTGTTCCTTAAAAATGTAAAGCAAAACAGGTAGCAGAGATCAGAAAACATGACACCCTTTTATGTGTGTACAATGAAAACTTATCAAAGCAGCCATGGAAGCCATCAATTCCATGAAACATATTAGCCCTACAATAGAAGATCTCCAGTAAAAAAAAGGCACCAATATATCTGAATCATTTCCTTAAACTTTTCCCTTTTACCAATTTCCAATCCACCAAGAAAACCCCACAGCAAAATTCAACAATCAGAACACAGTAAAAATTAGAAATATAATATCTCTGAACAGTAAACAACAAACAGAATTACCTTTATAACCCAAAATTCTTCCCCTAAATCCTTTCAAAAAATAGCAGAATTTAGAACAAAGAAAGAAGCCAGATCCCTCTCTACAGTAAAGAAGGGCAACGCCAAAGGCCCCCACAACCTGAAAGCTGCAATCTTTGCACTGCATACATTGAAGAGAACAACCTTAATACCAAACAAAAACCCATCGGTGTCCCGGATCAATCAAAACAAGTAAAATAGAGAGATCCCAGATAGGATTAAGATATCTTTCTCTCTCTCCAAAAACTGTTTCTCTCTCTAAACCCAAAGCAAAATCAAGCCCTGCAAAGAACAAGGAACCTGAAAATTGTCAACATGTGGTCTCCCTGTTATCCTATATACAGTAGTTTATTTTTCTCTTTCGCACTATGGGCCATTGATTCACACTCATTCTCTTCCCCGATTGGCCAAGTGATAGTTATATCACAACAACGTATCTACCTAATAAAAATAATGCGAAAAAGAAAAGAAAAAAAAATAAGGATTTTCTCTGGGCTTTTGAGGAAGTGAAAGACATGGGTATTTGTAGCACATTTTCTAGATTCTCTCTCTGCCCCCTCTGCTTTTTCGGTACACAAAAATATTTTTTTGTTTTTTATTCATCCCCATTTTTTTTATCCTTCTCCTTTTGTTTTCTTCTAAAAAAACAAATATTCGAAACAATAAAATTTCTTACGGAATCTTAGACAATTTCAACAATGTCATCCCTAAAAAAAATTAGTGAGAATATTTGAGTTGAAGCTCAAACTGAAATCATAGTTGAAAAAATCAATAGGCACTCATCAAGCGCTCGGAAGGTATCTAGCACTTAGACAGCGATTAATCGGTGTTTAGGCGTCCGTGTATTTTTTTTTAAAAAATTGTTTAAAATTTTTAAATTTTTAAATTTGTAAGACTAATAATTATAATCTATTTAATATTTTAATGGTTAATACTAAAATATTAAATATTAACCTAAAAAATTTATAGAGTTTGAACAATTTAAGCTTGTTTCGCTCAAAATAATGTCGTTTTTTAGTGAAAAAACTCATTTAAAATAATAATAGCTAATTGGCCGACTAGGCGGCGTTTAGGCCGCCAATCATGACCATATTTTATATACTATAAAATAATAATATTAAAAATGCACATTATATTCAGAAGATGTACATTATTTGTATACTGAGTATACATTATAATATACAATGTACATTCAGTATACAAATAATGTACATTTAATATATTAAAAATATACTTTTTATTATGGTCCACAAATAATTTGCCTTAGGTTAGCCGGTCGATTGCCTAGACCGGTGATATGTTTATGCGGTCGGTCGACGCTTAGCGCTTAAGCAAAATTTTTGTAACACTGTCTAAAATTGAGTCGTACTTGAACTTTAATTTTTCTAATCGTGCTGAACTTCAGATTTTAATTATTCGAATCCGACTGGACTCAATTACAATCATAATTAAATAACATTAAGAGAAATATTATAAATTAATTTTTTGAATGCTACTAGCTCTATTACATTATAGTATCTGTTCATATACTTCCTCAACCTACTAGAACACAAAGAGCTAATAATTAAATAACATTAAGAGAAATATTATAAATTAATTTTTTGAATGCTACTAGCTCTATTACATTGTAGTATCTGTTCATATACTTCCTCAACCTACTAGAACACAAAGAGCACACAAAGAGCTAACAACACCTCCACTGAGGCTCGAACTTATAACTTTCCAAATGGAAGTCCAACCCGGATACCATTAGACAACATAGTCCTGGTATATTATAAATTAATTTGGATGGCAATGAATTTCATTAACGTTGACTGCAAAAGTCTTCAGTTTTTTATTTATTTTCTGTTAAAATTATGAGAAAATGGACAGCTGATTTACTTGCAACAACTGCCCAGCTCAAAGTACTTTTAACACCCAAACAGTTTCCCAAAAGTATCTAACCGACCCCATCAATTCATAGCCACGCGCGCTAGTGGCGCTTGCTTCTACTCTCCTCCTATCACAAAAATCGTTTACTTCCGTATACAGTTGTTACGGAGTATTAAACGAATTTTATTTGTATACATTAAATAATTTGTCTTAAATACGGAGTAGATTTGCTTTTTTTTTTTTTTTTTTTTTAGAACCTATGATCATCTATTTAGATGGATAATTGGGATGTCATCACACTACATGGTAGTTGGCAGATTTACTTAATTTATTTGATTTTCCCTTTGTCATTTGATTTTATTATTATATTATTATATTAAGATAAAATTTAAGATAATTATTTTTTATCTTAAGAAATTGAAAATGAAATGTGAAATTACTTTAAGTAATAGTATTATCTTTTGAAATATAATTTGAGATTTTGGAATTGTAAGATTACATTGTGTGTTTAGTTTAGATTGTGATAAATAAGATTACTTTGTTTCATTAAGAGTTATATTTTAGATTATATAAATCAATTTACTATAATGCTTGCAATAAATATAATATTAATAATTGCATTTACGTCCATGCTTTTACTCCATATATAAACCTAATTTGAGTGATAAATACTTGTGTTTTATGCAAAAAGTACCTTAATTTATTTGTTTATACGTTTAGGTACATAAATTGTTATGTTGAAGACAATTGTATGCTTTTGGAGCATTTTGGATGCATTTTGAGTCAATGAGAAGCTAAGGAGATGACTAAAATACTTTCACAAGAGTCAAAGAGCGGTGTTTTCATGATTGTGATCATATGGACAGATCAAGGCAAAAGTGGTGCAAAATATCAAATAATTGAAATTCTCACACACCATGACCACTGCTCAGTATTTTGACCATATCTCAGAGTATGAAGGTTCAAATCAAGTGATTCTTAGAAAAGACATTGAAGGGCTACAACTTTTATAAATATCATAAGGACCAATTCAAATGTTTCAGGGATGAAAATTTGCCTGGAAATCAAAAGAGTTGCACAAGAACCAATCAATGCAGTAAGCATAAGTTTTTTGACTAGGATTACAATGCAAGGTTTACCCATACTGAAAAGGGTTATGGGGTTTCTTGTTAAACAAATATCTATGATTTTTTTTTTCATTCGAAATTTAAGGTCTCACTCTTCTGTTTTTATCTACATTTTCTTGGAAGTGTTGGCATCTATATGAGATCAGTTGTGACTAAATTGAATTAATCTCATCTAACAAAATTCAAATTGATGTACACTATTGGAAGGAAAAAAAAAAAAAAAGATTAAGGTTAATAGTTTTGTTAACACAATTAAAAGAATGTTTAAAAAAAAAAAAAAAAAAAAAAAAGGATCTCCTGGTACTACGCAATTGTACGATGGCAAGAGATCTGTCATCAATATTGGCACTTTATGACTGAAATTAATATTTATGTCCTCTTTCTCTAAGGGTTGGTTTGGACAATAAAATAAATATCATAATCGGAGGATATCATTTACAACTGTCATTCACCAATTCTAATGCATTATTTATGCATCTACTTATACTTCATCATGCTATATAATTTGCATTATGTCATATGACTTAATTAGTACATAATGCATTAATCGTGTAAAAAGTCATAGTGAATTACATATTATCACCTCACTAAAAAAATTTAAATAATACGAAGTAATAGTTTGGAGTTTATTGACGAGTATCACTGTGTACTTCTTTATCCGAATAGTAAAAATATTAATTAATGAAATTTGTCGACGGGTAAATTATGTTCATCTATAATGACGTTTTCAGTCATCATGTACTTGTAGTTGTGGTATAAATTTAGGTCATTAATTATTTGTGAGTAATTTTCATTCATACGTTTTTAAGAAAATAGTGAATTTTATCCTAGTAAAATCATGACCAAATATGTCCCTTTTCAAAAAATTTCTAACCATAAATAATTGAGAAACTAAATCTATATTGTTGATCATGGTTCGATTTTGATTCTGAATTGGAAGGGGGGGGGGGGGGGGGTGGATTCATTAGTTAGGATTGCATTGACAATATCAGTTTTGGTTCCGGGTATTGGTGGTCAAATTGTGGGTTTTAGTTTGATCGATGTGGTTTGTATAGTACATAGTTCTATTTGAAGCAAACAGTGATCAACATATAAAATATCCATTTATGCTATAGAGAATAATGAAAAGGTACAATGAGCAGCGTATATGCTATGCAACATAGTGTACAACAAAGGAATGTAGGCGTAGTTTGTATTTGTTGGGAAATTTCTCACTTCCTGTGACAATGAAAAATCACAGAACCGACAGGAGCACAAACACAAGATGATACACAATATCCAAAAATAAATAACAAAGCAAGGAACACAAGATTTACGTGGAAACCCCAAAACCACGGGGAAAAACCACGGGACCACCACCACCAATAATTCCACTATAACAAATCTCGGGTACATAGGTTCAGGCTACCACACGAGCCATAAATCCACAAATCATCAAATACACCAATTCTAGGCCAAATACATCCTTTAAAATTCACAGGCTAAATATGAATAATATCTCGTACGTACTCAAAATACTCAACTACCACAAACAAGATAAAATGAATATAAGTAGTACGAGATTACCCAAAAGATGCCTGGAATAAATACAAGCTGACCTTCAAAACATTTGATGAAGATTGTACCCAACAAGTTCGGCAAACTCACGGCAAGTTCCTCGCACTGCCAAATGAAAAGAATGAAGGGAGAATAGTTTTTCCCTTCTCTTAACCTCACTGCCGAATCAATCTCTCATATGTATATGTGGATGCTTGGAGAAGAATGGAGAAGCTCCTTTTATAACCTCAATACTTGAACATGGAAATAATGAAGATTAAATGGGAATAAATTACTTCAACTCTTCTACTTCCCCAACTCCTTATATCCCCAACTATTATTATTATTATATAAATAATAATAATAATAATAATAATAATCATGTCTAAAAATAGTGGATAAAATTGGCTTGGTCCAAACATGAGCTATTTACCACATAGGAGGGAAGCTCAACCCAACAGTATTATATGGGAAGGTGCGTGGAGGATTGAGGGAAGTTACGTTGAAATGTTGAATTTGATAAAAGAAGTAAGAAAGATAGACTGTTAGATTTTATTGTCACCTGCGGGTAATAAGTGATAGGGCTCACAGCTTTTAACACGCTTAATCTCGTTGTCCGTCCTAAGTGACAGATTATCATGTTACAACCCACATTGATTTTGTGTCACCCAAACTTCCATAAAACATTATTGTCCTTAACTTTTATTACCAATTGATTTACATTTTTAATTTTCGATTGTTATCTCAAATCTTAGAATGTCTAACTTATAACAAGATTTATTCCGTACTCTTTCTTTATGTAGATCGAGTAAGTCCATTATATTGTATGGTTGTTTTCCACAAATTATACAAGAAAAGGGGAAAAGGGGGCCAAAAAGAAGATAAAAGGAGAGAAGAAAAAAGGTGTGTGTGGAAAATTAAAGTGATGAAAGAAATGGGAAAAGGAGGAAGCAAGGTGGGGTAGAAGATAAATA